GAGAGAGAGAGAGAGAGAGAGGGAGAGAGAGAGAGAGAGAGAGAGAGAGAGAGAGAAACAGAGAGAATCACCCAGGCAGGGAGGGGGGGTCAGACAGAGAAGGTGGAAGTTGGGCAGATGCGAATGCAAATACAAGGGCGAGGCCAAGCGTGGAGGGTGGGGGAGAGGGGCAAAGGAGAACCCCGAAGGAAGGGCACACTTGGTCGGCGGCCACGCACCGAACTCCACGGACAGGGCATCCTTCTCCGCGGCAAAGCGCTGCGCCAGCCGGTGTACCAGCTGGAACTTGGCCTGGGCGTCCGCATGCCAACGGCTCAGCTCCAGCAGGAACGGGTCCACCAGGGCACGCGTGCCATCGCCCAGACGCAGGCCCTCCTCCGTTTGGAAAAGCGGCACCGGCAGATCCGGCAGCTGGGCCGAGGCCAGATCCTGCAGCATGACAGCCGCCGCATCGGGCGAAGTGGATGATGCACTGTCCACACCATCGCCGCTGGCAGCGCCGCCACCGCCGCCGGGGGTCTGTTGCTCGGCCTTCGAGAGAATGGCCCCGAAGGGCGAGTCTCGACGCCGGTCGGCCCATGGCTGTGGCAGATGGATGTCCGCCAGCGAGCTGGCATCGCGTCGCCGGGGGCGCTTGCTCGCTGGCTCGGACTCGTGTTCGGCAGGGGGCGAAGCGCTGCGCTTGCGCGAGGGCTCTGCCATCAGGCGGGGCAGGCGAAGGGGGAGGGGGGAGGGGGGGCGGTAGAGGGACGAAAGCAAAGCAACGCAAGGCAGTCCAAGGCACGGCAAGGCAAAAGAAGGACCATCTGATGGTCAGTAGGCGCAACAAAAGCATGCGAGAGCCGACGTCAGGGCTGGCCATCAGGCACAACGCACCGGCCACCGCGGGGGCGTCCGAATGAGACTGGCTCGCATGGTCCTCGGTGCCCGCGGACTGGGGCCCCTCATCCCTGGCAAAGGCCTGGGGGAGGAAGGACACGGGCGCGGTGATCACAATCTCCGGGCCCAGGGGGAAGGTGGCGCCATCGGAGCCGGTGGTCGCCTCGATCGACAGCACAATCGAGTCCCCGAGCCCGGCGAAGGGCGACACCGTGGCCGCCACCGGCAGGGATGACGCCGGCAATGCGGCTGGCGAGCTGAGTTGGCCAGTCTCAGGCGCCGGGGTGATGACTTCCATCGGCGCAGCATCCGCAGCAGGGGCACCCGCTTCGGGCTCTGCCGCTGCCGCCACCGCCGGCGCCGGCTTATTGTCGGTGACCTCAGCTGCAGGGGGAGACACATGCCCGTCTTGGTGCCGGTCGCCAGTCACAAGGCCCGGGCCAGTGGTATCGAGAATTTCGCCATCCTCCGGCGGCCCAGCAACAGGCCCGGCCTCCTCGGTGGCGGTCACGGCACTTTCGGCTGCATGAGTAGTCTGGACGGACCGAGCATCCCCAACGGAACCATTACCCTCGGAAACAGGGGCAGGCCCCGTCGAATCAGCCAAGTCAGCAGGGGCCACGGCATTGGCCCCATCATCGACATCAACGCCATCCATGGCCTCGGCCACATCAGCGACGCCAGAAACAGTGACTCCCTCCATGGCTTCGGCGGTGTCAGCCGGGGGTGCGTCGCTTGGCGTGTCCAGCAGCACATCCTCCATATCATCGACATCGGACTCGATGACGGAGCTCAGGCCGGCAGGCTCATCATCAATGTCGCTGGCTGCCTCGCTGTCGTGGCTACCGGCACTGTCGCTGTCGGCTGCCTCGTTGTCATCACTGCCGGACTCGCTGCCGGACTCGCCATCGTCGCTGGCTGCTTCGTTGCCGTCGCTGGCTGCTTCGTTGCCGTCGCTGACTGCTTCGCTGCCGTCGCTGACTGCCTCGCTGCCGGACTCGCTGCTGCCGACAGACTCATCGCCATCACTGTCAAAGACCTCGCTGCCACTGGCACCCAGATCCTCGGCAGCGTCCAACGAATCGTCACTGCCATTGCTGTTGTCCTCGGCCGAAAGGAAGTCCTCCTCGGCCGAAAGGAAGTCGTCCTGCATGTCGCTGGCCGGACTGCCATCCCGAGTTGACGCGGCGATCACCTCATCATCCGACAGCAAGCTGATGACCAGCGCATCGCCATCGCTGTCACCACTCTGACCATCGCCGTCATCATCATCATCATCATCGTACTCCTCGCTGTCGGTGTTGCCCCGGGCCCCGGCCGGACCGGGCGAGTGGTTGGCATCCGCCCCAGACCCCACCGGACTCGGTACATTGCCCGCATGGAGCGACGTCGCAAAGAAGCTCGGCCGTGCCAGGGGCAGGCTCACATCCGACACCGTGGACGAGGGAGACACCGACCCGGAAGTTGGATGGGGAACTGTGCTGGCCACCGACGGTGTGGCCGACGGGAGGTCCGCCGTCTCGGATGCCGACGGGCTGCCCGGCGACCCGGCGGCCGCATCTGATTCGGCGACTCCCACGGCGCCGCGGCCCTCTCCACGCTCGACAGCCTCGCCGTCACTCGAATGGCCAGCATCGAGGGCCGCCTCATCGGCACTCAGCGCCTCATCATCGACATGCTCAGCGTCGTCGGAGTCTGCATCGATGCTGTCATCATCAGCAACGTCGTCGTCGTCGTCGTCGTCGTCGTCGTCCTCGCTGACGTCGCTGCCATCGTCGTCGTTCCCGTCGCCGTCATCATCATCATCAACAGCAACAGCAGCAGCATGGTCAGCGTCGTCGTCGCCGCCGCCGTCGTCGTCGTCGTCGTCGTCACTGCCATCATCGACATCAGCATCACTATGGCCATCGGAAGGCGCGTCACTGTCGGTCATGCCAGATCCGGCCTCGCTGGCCGAACCAGCACTATCGCCCGCCGAGCTGACACCCTCAAAGTCGGACATGCTGGCCTGGTCGCTGTCCAGATCGACATCGGCCGCTGCCATCACCGCGTCCGTGCCATTGTCGGAGGGCGACACCAGCGGCGAAGTCTCCTCCACATGCATGCCATCATCCTCGACAGCACCGGCCACCTCGGAGTCCGTAGGGTCGGCCCCGGAGCCCGGGCCGGCCTGCGGACCGTCGGACGCGCCGGGGGAGCTGGTCCCACGGTTGAGCAGGTCCTCGAGCTCCTGGTCCACGGCGTCAGTATCGCTGTCATCGGCCACGGTCTCCGACTCGGCGCCAGAACCGAAGTCATCTTGGCTCAGGGTCGAGGCGTCGTCCAGCTCCTCAGAGGAACCAAGCTCCGAGCCCAGGTCAGACTCGACGTCCGAGCTGGCATCCGGCCCAATGTCCGAGTGCTCGCTGTGGCCCAAGTCCGACATGGGGGCCTCCTCACCAGAGGGGGAGGGCGAGCGGCTGGCTGGGCTTGAAACAGCGGCAGGCTGGCGACCGGCCGCGGGGAGAGGCGCGCCGCTGTCAGAGGGGGGCCCCTGATCGCTCATGGTCTCAGGAGGGCACAGGACCTGGCGCACGGGAGGGGGGCCGGCAGGGGGGGGGGGGGGGGATACGCCGGCAAGTGACATGCGGAAGGGGCAAAGCAGGGCAAGTGAGGTTAGGCGGCCGGGGCAGGTTAAGGCGGACGTTGCGGCGCATCGGACACGAAAAGGCAGACAAGGAGCAAGACGAACAGACAAGCGCAGAAGACGCGCGCCGGGGAGGGCTATGCTCCCGCTTGGGAGGGGGAAGGAAGGGGGGGGGGGGGGGGGAAGGCGGTCGGAAGGACGCGCGCGCTCGCACGCGCTCTGAACGGGGCCGCCGGGAAAGAGGGGAGGGGGCGGGCGTGAAGAGGAGAAGAAGCCACAGAAGAGAGAACGGGCGAAGGGGCGAAGAGGGGGGAGAGGGAGAGAGGGAGAGAGAGAGAAGCAGAGAAAGGGGGAGAAAGGGAGGAAGGAGAAGGGAGAGAGGCTGGGAGCTCGCTGTGCACATCCCAGACCGCTGTGTGCCACTGGAATCGGGCCGATCTAGTGTGGTGCGTGGCGCCCGAAAAGAGGTCCTGCCCTGAACGGGGTCCGGATACGTGTGCGCGTGCGCGCCCTCGCCCCCCCCCCCCCCCCCCCCCCGCACAAGTGCGCGCGCACCCGAGCGCTCCGGAACCACGAATATCCGTGGCCATCACCATGCTTGGAGTCAGGGACTAACGGTCTGCGGTGGGCCTCAGGCCCCAACGCGCGATACGCCGAAGTCCCCACTCTCGGGGCCGGCCGAGGCGCGCAAGAAGAAAGTGACAATGGATTGGGTGTATATTGGAAGGGGGCGCGCTTCTAGGGCGCATTAACTACCGGGCGGTCTGCGTTTCAGTTAATGCCGTGCGCGGAGGAGGGCCGCATGTGGTGAGGCCGGGAGGCTGGGCGGAAGGGGGGCGGAAGGGGGGGGGCGGGGCATGGTGTCAGGACACATGTGGGCATGAACGCCAGAAAGAAAGGGACGGGGGGGGGGGGGGGGGGGGGCGCGGAAAAGAGGAGAGGAGGTGTGTTCGGCGATTGCTTGCCCCAGGAGGACAGGTGTGTGTGTATGTGCGTGCGAGCGCACACACACACACATGCCAGCCACAGGGTGTAGTCCAGGCCGAGGGGGCTTGCGAGTCGCCGAGTACCACCACCACCACCCGGCAAAGCCAGGGGGCGCGATGCATGTTGGTAGAGGCCTGTGCGTGTGGAAGCGCGGAGTGAGGCAGCCCCAGACGCCCAGTGCTGCTGGGCCGCCCGCACTGACTGCCAACCACCGGGCGGAAGACAGCTCGGGCGCGGCCCAAGATCCTGACTGTACACCTGGCCGCCTCCTTCCGCTCCTCCTAACCCGGCCCAGGGAAGACCCTGCGCATGCCGACCCGCCCCCGGGGAAGACACGGGGCAGCAGTGGTACTTGATCTTGGCCGCGTCTTGAGCTCACCGCACAACGCCATGAGTGGGAAGCTGGCTACGCGGCCGTTCCGTCTGCTGGGCCACCCGCGCCAGCAGGAGAGGAGACAGAGGGAAGGGAAGAAGTAGAAGGGGCAGAGAGAGAGAGAGAGAGAGAGAGAGGGAGGGAGGGAGGGAGGGAGGGTGAAGGTAAGTTAGGACATGCGCATCGCGGGAACACCTGCCGGGCCGTTGACCGCAGTCCGACGAGGGGCGATGTACCTGGATGATGCGTGCCCCTACGACGAGGGGGGCGAAGAAGCACCCGGGTGTGACGGCTCGGCGGAGTAGCCCTTGGCAATGCCGCGCCGCCCCTCGGTGGCCAGGACCGGGGCATGCTCGCCGATGCGCGGCTCCAGGCCCTGATAGTGCCGGGTGTTGAGGAAGGAGGTGGACGGGCTCCAGGAGGCCAGCGCGCCGGGGCCCTGGCGCAGCTCGATGGCTCCAGCCGGCTGGGGCCTGGCATCGGTAGGCTCCGGCTCGAGCTCCAGCGAAACCGTGCCGCTGGCACTCTCGGCCCGGGACCCGGCGCTGCCGGCCGCCTCGGTGACCCCGCGGTTGCGACGCATCATGCGCCCGGTGATCAGCGAATAGTAGACATCATCCTCGCTGTCCTCGTCGCCCGAGGGGCTGCCATCGCCGGTGGCCGAGTCGTCCTCGGGCCCGGCCTTGCTGGCGGCGGCATCCGGATTGGTGAGGATCGGCCACACATCCGCCGGGTCCAGCAGGTAGTTGCCAGTCCACTCGGTCCTGCATGACCAGCACCGGGGAGCAGGGGGGGGGGGGGCAGAGAGAGAGAGAGAGAGAGAGAGGGAGATGAAAGGAAGGGCGGACGGACGGACGGGCGGAGGAGGGAAGGGGGAGCAAGTCAATCAAGGTGCAACAGGGAGCATGCGAATGTGGGGCGCAGAGCAGGGGGACACCCAAGAGGCGAAGCGAGGGGCAGAGCAAGGGAACAACGCACTCGCCAAGGGCGATCTCCAGCTCGAAGGGCGTGATCACCGGGCGGAAGTAGTCGCGGTCGCTGGACCCGGTGCCGGCCGAGCTCCGGCCCAGGCCGACCACATCTTCGGTGATGGTCTCGGCACCGCCGATGATGACAAAGACCTCGGCCTCCAGGAAGTTGGCCAGTTTCTCCGGGCGGATCTGCCCCATAACCAGGGTGTAGGTCTTGCGGCCCTGGGCCCCGGCCAGGCGCTGCAGGCGCCGGCAAATGGGCAGCGCATAGGGCGACGAGGGGGAGGCCAGCACCAACACAATGACCAGGGCATCGCGCGCGCGCTGGATCAAATGCAGACGCCGGGACAGGACACGCGGCGTGGCGTGGCGCGAGTGGCCGACCGTGTATGACCGCAGCGGGGCCTGGGCATCGGCCGTGGCGGCCCCGAGCCCGGCGCCACCCTCCAGTAGCCCCTGCGCCGGGTCCACGGTCAGCCACTCGACCGCGGCATTGTAACGGAGCATCAGCTGCGCCAGGGTCGGCGCCTCGGGATTCCCGATGAACAGGGCACGGAAGCGGGACATGGCCTGGGCCTCCTGCTGGTAGGTGCGCGCAGGGGCGCCGGGCGCCAGCGGGGTCAGATCCCCGGGACCGGGGCCGACATCGGGCACGCGGATGATCCGTCCGGAGAGGGTCGGAGGGTTGCAGGCCGCGCAACTGGCAGCCCCGGAGGCGTCCTGATCGCACTGGCACTTGAGAGCCCCAATGCCCGCCTGGGCGGCCTTCAGTCCGGGCCAGGAACGGGTCAGGTGGCTGACCGCCAGGCAGGCGATGTCCGGCCGCCGGGTCCGGATGGCCGCCTCAATGTCGCCTAGGCA